CGGCGGTGGTGAGCGGGGCCGGGGCGCGGCCGGGGCGCCTCCCTCTGCCTCTATGATGAAGTTCAAGCCGAACCAGACGCGGACCTACGACCGGGAGGGCTTCAAGAAGCGGGCGGCCTGCCTGTGCTTCCGGAGCGAGCGCGAGGACGAGGTGAGCCGGATGGGCCGGGGCGGCCTCCGAGGGGAGCAGCGCCGGCTCCTCGGTATGGGTGGCAGCCGCCAGGCTTTGTGTGCGCGCCCTCGGAGCCAGCTTCGGGACACGAACCTCGCCGCCTCCTGTGCACGGGGGAGCCGGAGGAGCCGCTGGGTGGGAGCGAGCTCTTGCGCACAACGCGGGCGCCAGCGGCAGTAGAGGCCGTGGGGTTGTTCAGGCCTCTTCACCAAGGTCAATTGCCCCGTACCTTATTTCGTCCCTCTTTGGCAGCGCTGCAGCGTGTCCAAGTGCTGCTTCAAACCTGCAGCTGGCATGTTTGTTCTGTAGTAAATGGCTGCGGAGTCGTTCAGCCGCCTAGGAACTGAAGACTGGGTTTCTTGCTGTCTAGGTGCCGGCGGAGGAGTATAGGGTCATGATCCCACGTGGCAAATCTAACCGGCATTGTACTCTCGGGCGCCTTGCTGGAAGACAGCAAAAAATCATAGGCTCAGCACTGATTCCACAGCTCAGAAATGGCTTGAAGAGCACAAGCTGGGTTTCACACATGCGTTTGATGCAGCTGTGCCTTGCAGTGTAGAATTGCTGCCTTCTACTGTCTTTACAGCCCAGTGACTTCCTTTCTTACTATGGTCAGGAGAAGGGGGCTCTGACTTGTCAGTTTCTGCACCAGTTTCTTCTCTGGGCCCCAGCAGGAGTTTGGGTGATCTCATGCTCTTCTTTGCTGCTTTAGTATTTGGTTTCTCAATGTTTGGGTGCCTGTATTGCTGCTTGAAGTGATACTAGCCTTTGTCATCTTTATTTAGTCCAGCACTTGTTGTAGCTTTCTTGTTGCTGACAGATGAGTGTCTGTTCCAGAGCTGGTCTGTTGGGTGTCTTGGTGTTTCTGTCAACCAGTCTGGAGCCCCTTTTTTTTTTCTCATTTCAAATACAGCAATAAGCAAATATACCAACTTGGTAGTATCAAACATCGCTTAAAACAAATAATGAGATTTGCTTTGACTGCTCCTGCATTTCATTTGACTGCTTCTTTGTTCAGGGGTGACACTTTTTGCAGATGCCACCCACCCTTAGTAGTGAAGACTCCTATGTGCATGTGGACCTCTGAGAGAGCTCCTGTAAGTCTGGCATTGGCTACTTGGAAAAGGAGCACTAGAAGGTAAAAGGAATTGACTAGTTGTGAGTTGTAACACTGATCTGTACATCATCCACATGGTTTCAGATCAGAAGCTTAACAGATCTGGCAGGGTTGCTTTACTACTAAAAGTGCTGGGTGCAGTCACCAGCAAAGCAAGACCTCAAGCTGCTAGTTCTACAACTTCATGCTCCAAGTATGCAGTAGATCTGAGCTCTTGCTCATAAGGGATAAGGAAGTTTCTATATAAGCCTCAGAGTCAGTGCCAATAAGGCCTGTAGCTAATAGGTATTGTTCCAATTCATGCAGCCTTGTGTCAAGATCTTTGTTCTGTCTCTCTGGTCTGATGTCTAAGTGGAAAGAAGAAATGGCGTTTCTGTCTGCATGTGTGGTAATCCTCCATGACTTCTTCTCATTCTCTGCTAAGCTGTAACCAGGCCTAGCGTTCTGCCTTGTACCTACAGGCGTAGCTTCCCTTGCCACAGTGAATGTTTCTCATGTCAGTTGGTGCTGTTAATGCACTAGACTTTTATACCTAGATATTTCATGCTAGTTGGCAAAACCATGCCCGTGACACTCTCGGGTATTTGTTCTAGGTTACAAATATTTGTGTTGTACACTAGGTACATTTCCAGAATAAACAAATGTCCACATTAGCCTTTATAAATATTGCATATCCCTATTATCAGTGAATTAACTTGAGATATAAAAATTGAGTAACTAAGTCCTGGCTGTGCTTCCCAGATGCAGAATAAGTGGTATGAGTTTGCTGTTATAATTGACTAGACTGTTCTGACTGCTTTAATTACTGGTGATAATTGCGGTGATTCAAGTTGTCCTTCAGATACAGATGAGTCTGAAGAATCTTCCAATGGCAAATTGTCCACTTGGAAGGAATAGGAGGCTACTGACTGCAGGGGAAGATTTAACCTTTCTTTAACTTCTGTCCTTAGTTTCTGTAACCAATCTGGAGTTAATATTGGGCTGGGAACTACTATCAGTAGAGAACTTGGGGCATAGGACTGCAAGAGGTCTTCTGAATAAGTGAATCAGTCGCATCATCCCTTTTAACAAAATGATGAAGCTCTGATATAAAATTAATTAAGTTGCTTGACCTTGCTACACTTTTTGTGAACCCTACAGCTCTGATGGTTAAGAAACTTCATTTCCAGCCTAAACTTACTCATAGCCATTTAATATGTATTTGCTCTGGTGCCAAGATTGTCTTTTAGTTCTTTCCCCTTCTGGTGCTCACCATGCTCATCCCTATTTGTAGACATCAACCAAAGTGCCTCTCAGTGTTCATTTTACTAGACTAATCCAAACAAAGCACTTCTAGCGTTATCTCATAAGATAGGTTGTCTGTTCTCCTGATCATTCTAGTGGCATTTCTTATATCAAGATCACTAATGGAAAAATAGTTAGAACAGTCTTAAGACTCATTTTTGAGGATTCTGGTAGTAGCTTCCCTCTAACCTGATAATTTCCCTTTCAACAGAGCGTGATGTTTTAGTCCCTTAGATAGTTCTTACTCATTCTACAGATCTGGTAGCGGGTGGGGCAGGGTAGGGTGCCACCTTTATTAAAGACTGTGACTGGTTCAGAGAGGCATGAACTTGGTCAGATGCTATGAATGAACTTGCAGAAAGCAGAGGTTCTAAACCAAACAGAATTTAAATACAAAGCATAGCAGGAGGTAAAAATGGGTTTGAATACCTTAATAAGGATAAACAAATCGGTTTGCCCATTTACGGTTATACCAGTTATAAAAGCTAGCCCAAGTAAGGAGATAAGAATCTGTGGTCTCTGTTGTGACAATCCAGTCTGAGGATAACCACTTGTTCTGCATAGCCACTGCAATTTCATATCCAAGTCTGTTTTTAAAGTTTCACTTGATAAGAACAGCTATGCTGAGGTCAGTGACAGAAGGTCCAGGGAAGTTAGTGTTCTGCCACAGGCTTTTGTGCATTCCTGCAATTTCTGTGAGCAGTTGCTTTCAGTGAAATTTAAGGCAGTGGTTATAAAATGTTTGCTAAACTGCATTGGAACCTGGGCATTCAAGTAGAATTGAGTGATAGTTCTGTCATGTGGAGTAGGAGAACATCTCTTCTGCCTGCAGTTCTGGGACTTCAGCAGATAAGAAATCCAAGAACTAAGAAGCAAAGGAGGGGAGTACCTCTGTAGTCTGAGGCAGAAGACAATTTTAAGGGCAGCAAGAGGGAAGGGGACTAAATTATATTGTAGCTATTTGAATAATTAGTAGACACTCCATTTATTGGATAAAATGGTTGATTGAAATTGCACAAAAGTTAAGTGTCTCTGTAAAATATTTTGGATGTGGAAAAAAGATTATCTTTTAATAAAATAGATTATCCTTAATAAAATGTTTGAATATTATAGTATCATTATTAGTAAGATGTAGAAAGCTTTATTTTTGGTTTGTTTTACTCAACAATTAATAATTTGGGTGATTTTATGTAAAGATCATGTAGCTTTCAAATGTTTGGGAAAACAATGTCTAAAAGGATGCTGTGTGCTCCATAGGTGTTCATTTTCCAGCTACATTTCTATGCCTGTTATAGAATGGGACCATGGGGATCAGATAGAAAAAATAGAGGAGAGTATCAAGACTCTAATAGGAGCTAATTTCTAATAGGATTCTGATAGGATATCTATAGGATGTACCAGTTCTCTTTGCTGGTAAAGTAGAGTCTCTGATCAGTTGAGGAGGGTCATATATTTTTATAGGTGTTCAAAGGTAGACTTCTCAACTGGAAACTCTCTCATGGAGGAGATGAGGGGAGTTCAAATCAAATCAGACTGAGAACATTATTTAAACTTTTGATGACTTTGTCTTTGAGGCTGGTATTTCAAATCTTGAGAACCCTTTCTCTCTTTCAACTTTCTAACATCATGTTTGCCCAATAACCATTTTTTGGTTAGCATATCAAGGAAATATTGATTTAATCTTTTCAGTCATGCCTCCTGAATTTTACTCTAGCAGTGGTTTTATTAAAAGCTTTTCACTTAAATGTATTTAACTTTAAATTTCTTTTACCAGCTTAATAGACATCTAAACTGAGAAGGTACCACAGTGATCTAATCCAGCAATTTGCAAACATCTCTGCAGTAAGGATCGTGCTGACCCCTCTTTAGTGGTCTGAGCAATTAAAAAGATTGACTGTAGTCCACTTATCCCAAAAAATTGAGAATCCCTGATCTAGACAATGTAAGTCATAACAATAAGCAGTTGCTCCTGCACAGAGCTTATAACTGCAGGTTGCACTATAGTATCCTTGATTATAACATTGAGTCTTAACAAAGACTATATGTTTTTTAAAAACTCCATCATGCTTCTTAAATCAGAGTTTACTATTTGGTTTCTTTATGCCGTAGTCATATGCCTCTTAGCCCAGTTATGATAAAGGGCTCAGTGACCAGTTCAGCTTCCTTAGAAGCTCCCTTAAACTGATGGACACACATTTTTCTCCATGCAGACTACTCCCTTGAACCATTCAGTTATCATGTTAACAAAACTGCAGTTGTTCATGTGGATCATCTAGCTTCATCAGAGAGTCTGTAAAGGTAGTAGCTTTAGAATTAATTTCTTAAGCTTTAGTCGGTCTTCAGACTTCCTGCATGTCCTGCATGTTCAGTATTGGCTCATAGTTCTTGGCCTAACACACAGTTCATAACTTGTAAGGTATGGTTTCCCCAGTTTGCCTGCAAAAATACGACTTTGGCTTGTTCCTTAAGTGCTAACCTCTTGGCTGCTAATTCAAATGATTATATGCATATAGTTCAATGTCTTCATCAACTTCATCAAAACCAGTTGCGTTCAATGTCGTCATCAACAACCTGGAAG